GAGCTCCTGTAACCAAAACCAAATTCCCTGTATGTGTAAGCAAACCTGGCCAATAAAGCTTGATTCTGATTCTGATTCTGTTTCTGATTTACCAAACATTTTCCATCAATCTGAAGAACCATTTCATGATGCCAAGAAACCTTTAATCATGCAAAGGGTCCTTTGAATGTTCGTGGTTTTATATAGAACCATTTTCTTCACTAAAGAACCCTTGATGAACCATCTTTTTTAAGAGTGTAGGACACATTCTCAGAGTGGCTCTGGTTAAGAGCGTCTGTGAGTGTAAATGCATGAAATTGGTGTTAAGTGTGTTCAGAGTGTTAGTCACTCTCAGAGCGAGGCTGCAGCAGTGCCGTAGTAATGGAACAGGCATTTGATAAACAGCCGATCTGAGAGTTGACTCACTGCGTGTTTTTCACTCTGTGTTCTAGATACAGCAGTGAAGGAGCTCACATGGGCCTCCTCAAATCACCGTGTCAGTGTTATTAGACAAAATGTTCTGACATTTTAAGTAAAACCAGAAAAAAAAAAACAGGACTGGCCTGCTCACTCTTCAGGCTTCATGTTTCATTTTTTTAAAACTAAAATAGTAAAACCGTTTCTTTTGGTTCCTGAGGTTAAGATCACAGTTAGAGTCTTACATAACGGGACATGTTATTATTACACATAGGCAAATGCAAAGAAAGTGCTATATAAAACTCAGAGAGCATTCATTAATTTGATTTATTTCATTTCCAGTCAAAACTGCCAGAAGTACAAGTTATTCATTTTTCAAAATCACACAGAAGCCTGAACATCTAAATCTAATCCCAGCTGTGTGAGTCAGTGAGTCACTCTCCATCTTTATTCCAGCTTCCATTCTGTTCAGGAGACTCACTTTCAGCTCCTCAAAGAATCTGCAGACACACCTCCAAAGTCCAGTCTTAGAAGCTGGTTGATCATTTTCTGAAGTAATCAAACACATTCAGTGGTGTTGAGGTCTGGACTCTGGGGTGGTCAGTCCATCAGCTTCTTTGTTTGATGTGTCCGTCTCCTTTTCTCAGTGAGGTTCTTCTTGATCAGCTACACATCCTTTCAGACCCACAGCGCTGAGTCGTCTTCTCACAGTGGAAGGATGGACAGAAACACCTGTGGATGTTTTCAGATCTGAAGCAGCTTGATTTTCTCCTCTCTCTCAGAGATGAAAGCTTTAAGTGCTGTTTATCTGATGGGGGCAGTTTTGGGGTCAACCAGCTCTTCCAGGTGGGTGTTAGGAGCCACATTTTCTCTGTAGGCTTTTCTAACTCAATTAATTTTCCTTTGACTTTCTTCATATACATATAATGGCTGCTACTCTTCTGGGAAGGCTTTACACTCAATGTTGAACATTGCTGTGAGGATTTGATTGAGCATTAGTGAGGTCAGGTACTGATGGTCAGTTCTGAATCACTCCATTTCATCCCAAAGGTATTGGATGGAGCTCCAGCACTCCAGAGAACACAGTTCCACTGCTCCACAGCCCAATGCTGGGTGGCTTAATACCCCTCTAGATCACACTGGGCATTGGAAGTGGACGAGATGGAGCTGAACTCGTACTGCGCTAGTTTAGACAACATTACGGGTTGTGTTACAATATAAACAGAAAATCACAGCATATGTTGGACGTGATCCTTACGTTACGAAGAGGAGCTATTTTTCAACTGAACTGACTCACCTGCTATTGGGGCAGCAGGTATGAGCCACTACCTCGTCCTCCAGACGTCTTTCCACTCAAGAACACAAACGAAAGCATATAAAAGTGTGGAGGATCAACTTTACGAGTCTCGTTTGAATTTTCCAGTTCCTCCTTAAACGGTGCAGTTATTATTATAATGCCTGACTCCAGACTGTAACTGCAGTGATATCCAACTGCAGACCCACAGTACTGCA